GAGAGAGAGAGAGAGAGAGAGAGAGAGAGAGAGAGAGAGAGCGAGCATCATTTTCCACAAAGGCGTGTTGACATGGTTCTTGAATATGAACGGGTTTCAAGAGCGGACTCAATGAGTGAAACCCATTCCTCTGCGGACTAGACTGAGGTGATCGCATTCCAGTGCTGCTGGAGAGGACGCAGTGACAGCGGATCTGTCTAATCACCGGACATCGACACGCATCCACCACGGGGCACTCAGCTTGACTCCTCTGCTATCCAGGGCAAAATGCGTCTGGTTCTGTTCGCCTTCCTCATCTCGTGCTCCTGTGCGAGAGGCGGATGCGAACCCAAGACTGTGAATATCGGGGCTGTCCTGAGCCAGAAGAGATATGAACAAGTGTTCAAAGACGCTGTCACCCAAGCCAACAACATATACGGCAAAGATAAGTTCAAGATGAACGCTATTTCTGTCACCCATAAGCCAAACGCCATCCAGATGGCACTCTCCGTGTGTGAGGATCTCATCTCTAACCAGGTAACACTCGCAAACCAGTCTCCTCAACTCATACGAATAGTCAGAAAAAAAAGGCATTTTGAAAATACATGCTGTAATAAAATCTTAGAAAAAATCAATTAGATTTGAAGCGCGATGTCACACAATGCTCTCAAAAACGGTACTTTATAGAAACATCTATCTTTCTATATTAATCATGACTTTATTATATTTGTATTATATTGTTAATATTTAAAAACTCGACCATTTCTATTGACTTATTTTGGAGTGCGAAGTCACCAAGTCTGAATTTTTGATTTGGTTGACTTGGTTCTTGCAGAGAGAAATCTATCTATCTATCTATCTATCTATCTATCTATCTATCTATCTATCTATCTATCTATCTATCAGGTTATTTAGATTATTCAAATGTTTTTCACACTAAGAAAAAAAGTGTTCGTTTTAGAACTGTTCACTGAAAGGTTCTTTGAGGAACCAGAAATGGTTCTTCTATGGCATCAATGTGAATCTATCTATCTATCTATCTATCTATCAGGTTACCGTTTCAGTTGACTCTCCTGTGAATTTGAATCATTATTTTAAATATCTTTTATAAGATATTTAAATCAAGCTTTCATTTTAATTAATTAATTTTGATACGTTAATTTTAGTACATTTTTTTATTAACCAAATTTAGTTATTAACTTTGTATTCTGCAAAAGCACGTTGCACAAAAGAAAACATTCAACAGGATCCGAGGTCCATTTTGACCTTACCGATGAGTGAGTGAGCATTCAGCAGCCGCGCATTGCCGTGATGGGAAGGCTGTAAAACTGTTCTGAGGTTAGCCTACATGAACTGAGCCTGAAATAATGCAAAACACATAGGATACGTGGCAACCTGTGATTCATGTGGAGTCATATAAATACAAATTCAAACATAAGTAAAACGTTTAAGGTAACGTTATTCACCCCTCTAAGAGGCGCCATGGCATCACAGCTGGCCCACCGTCTCTATTTTAATGAAAAACATTAAAAGAGGCCAACATGGCGCCAGCCTCGTAGATACAGCTGCTTTGTTTTGCGAGGAAAGCTCTAGCAAATTATTACACGGCGGTGGAGGCAGAGATTATGGACTTCAACGCTGTAACACGGAAACCATTAAACACATAAAGCGTGCGCACGCTGTTCATGACAACATGCAAACTGTTGATGTCAGATCCGCACTTTACCTTTTACTGTCAGCTGACTCCTCCAGCAAGGTTAAATAATTGCTTTACGTTTTAGAAATGCATCAATCACAAATAAAATGTTTCAAACTAAAACAGTTTGTACAGTTGTGTACAACCCTTTACATTGGGAAAATGTTGGCCATTTCAATGGAAAAGAAATACAAATACTACAGTAAAAATCGCTGACGTTAACTGCGAGTTACCTTAAGGCAAAACAATTTCATATATATAGCCTATATTTAACAGGACAGTACACAATGTAAAATTATTGTAAAAATGTTTTTGTAAGTAAAACGTTTTTAAATATTTGTTTCTTATAATTTTTGCTATCAGTTGGCAACATTTTGTACGTGTTAATGTACAGTCAGCTGGGCATTTAAACCGGCCTACTACATTATCCCGCCTATCATAAGACTACACACCAAATAAATAAATACGTGGCAATATTGATTTGAAATTATTTTGTAATTTTACCCGTATTGTCTCAAAGCTTCCGCTAAGAAAAAAAATATTCGTACAAGACAAGTACAAAACATTCCGCTTACGAACAAGACTCAACAATATTACTGATTTCCTCCGTCTGAGGTTATTTTCGCTACAGTCGATAAGTGAAACGCAATATGACGCCAGATGCGTATGAAACAAGAGCGTAAAGACGAAGCGCCGCGCCAGTTTCAATTACCCGGATGAGCGGAATGTTATACTGCGTCCATTGTCGTCAAAGAATATGGGATTACATCCCTGCCACAATAGGGTATATGTCGAACATCACCTGACCAAACCCGGAAAACAGGTCTCATTGCTTCCGCTTGTCAGAGAACGTGTTAACAGCTGTATTAAATAATAGCGATATCTATGGACTTTTAAGATAATCAGTAAAACTAGCTAGCTGTTTTTATTGTTGATGTTTTATTCAATTTTCAATCTAAATGTGAAAAGAATAAAAAATAAATAAAAATTTTAGATATCAGTCCGCATATGTGATGGACATTGGTTATGATCATCATTGGTATCTACTTTGAAGGCATCTTGTGTAAAACTGCTTCATATTTAACTAAGCATATGCAAAACGCTTGAACCGGAAGCGACGAGACCCGGTTAACAGAATACGGAAGTCTGTTGCGCATAACCCCTATTCTGCGCGCGAAAGATCATATTTTGAGCGCGCAAAAGTGCGTTTTGCTCGCGCGTGCGAACTGAATTTTGTGGAGAAAATGTTTGTCTCGCAAAGAAGAAAGTATTTCGAGCGCACGAAAATCAATTTTGCATTTAAAATAAGTTTTTGGATGTGTGCAGACCTTCTCTTTTGCACAGTGCAAAGTTTCACTGGCTTGCTCACCTGATGCCTGCCGAGGCTGCTAAATTCTGATTGGCTGCCTTGACAACCAATCACAACATTCCTTGCATTACCTCAACAGCAGAAGAGGAAACATACAGTGCATGCATAATTATTATGCAAGTTGATATTCTGATCATATTTTTTTCCAAGCACATTTTACCAAACGACATCAATCTTAATAACTACTATTAATCTTGTATTTAATCATTTATAATTGATATATAATTATTCATGAAGGCTGGAAGTGAAAAATGTCTTATATTCAGGTGTGCATAATTATTAAGCAGATTTTCTTTTACAGATAAAATGAGCCAAAAATTAGATTTAAAAATTATTAAATGCCCATGAGAAATATTAAAAACTAATACAATACTAGAAATTGCAAAGTTAATGCATATA